TAATTGAATTTGGCATATATTTGTTACTATATCTTTTTTTTTACTAAACTTATTTTATTCTTCCTTTCACATTTCGAAATTTAAGTTCATTCCAAATAAAATTTGTCCATTATTTATGATTTATTTTTAAAATTTGTATTTTTAAATAATTTTTCAAAAAAAAAATTTGGAGTATAACCCATAAAATTTTTAACATCATCTTGAAGTAGATGTATTTCTAAGCATACCTGCAAAAGAATTTTTTTTTTTAATTCAAAATTTCCTACGATATATGGGAATTTATGTACTGGCGCGTTTTGAAATTTAGCATATTTGTTATAAGCGTAACACCAAATTATGCACTTTGTTAAAATTATTTGAAAGTATGAACGATGATTATTTTTTTTTACCCCGGCTTGTCTACAATAAAAAAAGGGAAAAGAAAATAGGTTGCTTTAAATTAAGAAGTTCGCCAAGTGAATTATTCTTGGCAAGAACTGAAAAAAATACACTAAGTTAAATTTTTTAATATCTCTGTAAATTTCGCACCAAATTTTACAAAATTTAGTATTTAGGCATAATTTGAGTCGCAGACTAGAAATATGGAAAAACATTGCCATGTCATTTCAGAAAAAATTCCGATTTTATGTCAAAATACGTATATTAAAAAAACAATGCTATACATAAATCTAATATATATATATCGTAAGTCGCGCTTTTGAGACATGAAAAACGCAATTTGAATTTCGTCAATCGGCCCAGTAGAATGGGAGACATAGAACTGCCCTTTTTTTCTTTTTCTTCCCACCCCCCATTTTTATACATTGAGATAACGTTTGAAGGCAAGAATATGGAAAGTAATACAGACAAAAAAAAAAAGTTTGAGACTAGTAGTATCTATGGTAGTAATTAAAGAGATGAAATTCCTAATTTTTGTCTTCCTACTTTTTAAACCTGTTGTTTAACTTAGATATAATTTTTATACTATTGAGTTTTTTTATACAACAGAAACAAACATTCAATATTTTTAATAAATAATAAAATATCAATAAAAATATAATAAAGTGTTGATTTTCTTTCATTTAAGGAAAGCAAATGTATTTTATTTATTTATTTTTTATTTTTCTAAGCATTTCAATATTAAAATGTCTGAGTCAGCAAGTTTGAAAATGTGGCAGCACTGTAGTCAGCTGCGGCTGCATGGGCAAGATCACTGAATGCTGATAGTTATCCTTTATTTAATTCCAGCCAAATCAATGCATTTGCATTTTAAGGTTGGGGCTTTCTGCATTTGTAGTATAAATTTGAACCAATTAACCTTGGAATATCCTTCCCAATTCAGAGACTTTTTGAATGTTTTATTCTAAATAGCTTTTCCACACAAATTACAAATGCATAAAAATGTATTAAAATTGAAATTTTGGTATAATTGAAAGAGCATATGCATATTCTGTGCTTCCTTTTTCTTTACCAAATTTTCGATTTTTAAATAAATAATATATTGATTAAATATTAATATATTGGTGATGGCACATTTTCTTCTGCAGTTAATTAAAATATCTATGACAAATGTAGAATCTTCCAGAACATTCTAAATCTGAGTAAACTTTTGGTTCATATACTTGAATTATCTGTCTGTGAACCAAAGTATATGCAATATGAATTAGAACCCAGCTATGTTTTAGTAAAATTGTAATTTTATAATTAATGTGTGCATGATAATTCACTCACCTTGGAACTAAGATTTATGCAAATTAATGGATTTTGGGACTATAAGTTCTTTTTCAGTTTTGTTCATAGTTCTCTCTTTCTTTATTTTTGCATTAAATATCCATTGTTTGCACATTAACTAACTAAAACTATATCTTTATTTAATCAAAATTTGTTGAATACAAAACTGTTATATTTTTTAAATACAATTGTGTATGAACAAAATGGTAATACAAGAGCAAAAATATAGGAGAGAGAAATAATAGAGAACATTTTTTTAGAAAGTAAAGAACTTTCTTTTGCATAGAAAATGCATATGAGAATTTAGTGGGGGAAAAAAAAAACTGTGTCCACACACCAGATAATTACTTTAAAAGTAGTTTTTCCACTCCATAAGTGAAAAAAAAAAATAAATAAATAAAATTATTTACAAAAACTTTAACATTAAAGATTTTCTTATATTGAATCTCTATGCTAATATTGTGGTATATTTTGCATTTGCAAAGCTGGGTTATAAACACTTCAGAATGTACTAAAATAGAAATTTTGAATTTATTAAAAATGTATCTCGACTTCCCCCTTTTTCTTTACCATGCATTTTCTTTTTCTTCTTTCCCTCCCCAACCCTAAAAAAGTTTTTTTTTTTTAAATGCATTTTTTCAAGAATTCCTTATCTTGTTTGTTGCCATTGTAAACAAGTTAGTGTAACACCTGAAAAGCTGTAATCAGAATTAAAAGTGCTTTCATTTGAAAAGCTACAGAACCTTCTGGATGACTCAATACACATGAACATTTATGTTAAAAATAACTTTAAGATGTAACTATTGTAATTTTTCTTACATGTAGCTGGAAATAAATTTGAGGAGAATTTATAACATTTACTAAAAACTAGTACATCTTTGTAATAGTTTTTATTAAAACATCATTTGTGTCTTTTAGCAACCATAACTCCTTCAACAGTTTCAAAAATTCTGAATGTTATATCAAAGTATAACAAGGTAATAAAAATGTGATTAGCATGAATGCATTAAACTAGCTTCACTACAGTTTAACTTACTCTGAATTAAAGCTTTAAATAGTAACTTGATACATTTATTTTACATGATTGTACAAATGATTAAGGAATTCATGGAAAACAAAGTGTCATCAAATATGTTAAATAAACTATTTCCTATTAATTTAGCATATTAAATAGTTATTTAATATTTCTTAATCAACTTGTTGGCAAATTAGTTCATTTTACTGACCTTTTTTTTTTAAACAAAAGTATTAAGAAAAATATGTTAAACTGTGTTGACTCCTTTTACATAATAAAAATATTTGTTTATTCATTTCTATAAATCTCGAGGTTGTGCGTGCATCTGCCAAATTCAAGGACTGGATTTTTTTAACCTGTCCTAGCAAAACATCTATATAGTAACTAATGCTAAAGATAAGCCCACCAGTGGCCGAGCGGCAACATCGCTGAACACTGGTAGTTCGGTCTGAGGTTCGAATCCCACAAACGGGCTGCCTGCATGTGTGTTTTGGTGGTTTTCCCCATGTGTAACGTGTATACGAACCAGTTTCCCTTAAAAAGTCCTCCACAAAGGCATCTCTCCCCTTAAACAAATAGCCCTCGAGGCTTTGCCGTAATTAAAACAACCTAACCTAACCTAATGCTAAAGATAGCTAGCTGAACTCAGCTACCATATTTACTTGAAACTATTTGCTATATTTTTGTTCTAAAATTTAGTACAGTCTTCTAATCCAGTATTTAAGTAAATGGAATTCTAGAATGAGAAGGAAAGGGTTTAGCTGCATAGAATAATTGCACTGTTTAAATGCTAAATAAACTACACAGATACATACATATAAACATAATATAAGCACATAGCATACATGTAAACTGCATAACTACTGCTGATTATAATAGCCATGTCTAGTTGGGCAATTTCAATTGAGGTTTGCATTATGTAAGCTGGTTGCTATTATGCCTGAAAACAAACATAGTAATGCATCATTACTTTTTCTTCTTGTACTGTTGTAAAATATTGTATTTAATTATGTAGCTTTCATTCTAATTAGAACCATACTCACATCAAATATTCACTGACATTTCTTCCTTTCAAGATATTTTTTTTTTTTAATATTTGCATATGAAAAGAGTTTCAGGTGGAATTTTTTTAATGTGGTTGCTAATTGTTGCTGTGAAATCAATAACTAAACAAGAAGCAATAAAATATTCTTCACACAGTACAATTATTACTAAGCAGTTTGCTGCAAAGAAATGCATCACAGTTCATCATCATGCCCATTATTTTTAATATTTGATATCTGTAAACTACTTTCTGTTTCTTAGAGTAAAATCTTAAAGAGCATTTCAGAAAATTTGAAAGCACAAAGGGGAAATTAGTATGTTCTGGCTGTTTTTGGCATTTTCAGAAGTATCAAGAAATGTATAACATGAACCAGATTGCTGTGCCTTTAATTTGTATTACACTCTAAAATTGTTTTATTCAGATTTTATTTTTTTTATTAATTTAGTTCTAAAATCTTGTAAATGTACAGTATGTTTGTAGTCCTAACTTAAATTTTGTATAATATAATATCAGTTTAACAATATATATTGTTTAACTGAAATTCAGACAGTCTGCTCAAATTTATCTGTACTTTAGGAAATTGTTTTGCTTGTTAAATATAAATACCTCAAAGTGTACTAGCATAAATAATACTGTGTCAAAAATATTTTTTTTTAATCTGACAAAGTAAATTTGACGTATGATCTATATTGATTCATGAGTTCAAGTTAGGACATTCAGCCAAGCTAACTGGGAAAATTTTGTTTCAGTTAGTGTCCAAGAAAATGGTCTCCTGCTACACAGTGAAGATAAACTTTCGTCACTTCACTGCAGGGAATTATAATCTTTCAAGCAAATTCCAGTCTAGACTTTTCAATTATGAAAGAATCATGCCTGTCTGGTAAATAGCAGGAGAAACTAAATAAGCATGGCTTGTATGTGTTTGAGCTTTGAAATATTTTTAGTATATGATAAATTTAAAAAAAAAATCATATAGGATTTAAATTTCCTTTCAACAGTTGAACATAATTGTCATAATGCTGTGTTATCTCTCTCAGTTTACTCAGAGTTTATAAAGTCATCAAATGTTATAAGAAAAGTTACGTTGCCAATTTCTTCGTATTATACTTCAGTTAATTTCAACTTATATGTTGGCAGAATTAACATATACAACTAATATTACATATTAATGAAGTTTTGTGCCTTGTTTAAATGTATTTTCCCTTATTATTTTTCTTTTCCTGGTATCAGGGAAACAACAGTATCGGATACAACTCCACCTAATTCACCATCTGCCTCACGTAAATCTCGAGAAGACAATGTTTTTAGTAGGTTAACTAGTGGATCATTTAGATTGAACAAGCCTGGTAGGTAAGTCCTTTTACAATAATTATTCATTTCTTATGCTCATAATTTCCAGATAAATCAATTCTGAAAAAAGTCATGCAGGACTGCATTTCTAGTCTGATTATTTTTGTAATATTTCTAAAATCATCAATTCCAAATTTAATCTGAATAATTCTCTAATTTTTTTATTATTTTTTTAAATAAGATCTTTACTTAACCCTTTGTAGTATGTTTTAATTTTGAAAAGTTTTGTATAAAAGATTGTAAGGATTATAGTAATTTTATTAACAGTTAAATTTTGAGTTAAACTCCTTTCCTGTCAAATTTTTAACTTTACTACTTCCAGCCAGAATGTAGTTTTAGAATCACATCCGAATACATAATGAGGAAGAGCGGTATTTAACCGCGAAGTTCTACTTGCTGAGTTAGAGAGAATCAGAGTTTCTGATAGTGCGCATCCCCTTTTTTGGCTACTCTCTCTCAAAGCTGTTATTATGCTCGGCCGTACTCAGGCCCTTGATAGCTTGATACAGTCAATTAGTGTTAAGGGGCCAACTCGGTTAGAATCTTTATAGCTTCAGCTATATCTCTGTAGTTTAGATTAGTTTTAGTTTACTTCTTAGTCTCTTAGTTCAAGCCCAAGTGTCGGCTTTTATTGTACATTCCAAGACGGAGTTCTGTTAAATCTTATCTGAATAATAAAGGGTTATTTACCCTTCCGTCTTGTTGTTTCTTGTTGCACAAACTCAAGTGATTATTTGCTTACTAGTTCTTAAGATTCTTCACATTCAACAGTAACTTAGTTTTACAAAGTGAGGAAGTCTACAAGATAGCTGTATATTAGTTACTATATTAAACTGTTATAAGAAAATGTAATTAATTTTATCATTCATATATTTTGTAAATCAGTATTATAATTGTAACTCATATGAAATGTGAACATGTGTCAGTAATTATAAATATTTAAATTCATTCAACTTGCTGTTAGAAGGTCAAAAGCCTTCTAAAGAGGGTGGTAGTAGGAGAAGATGGGTGGAATGGAGACCACTGAATCCACTTTCCAGGATTTTATGTCAAAATTTGAAGAATGCTTCCTTTTTGTCAAAGGTACAATTCATATGCCCTGGGCAATGTTTTCGTCATGATGAATGCTTAGTGGAATTTAGTAATACTAGGAAAGTGCCTGCCTGTTGGGGGGATGGCAATATCTGATGCTATTGAATAAAGCATTTCAAAACAGTTAAGACTTCATGCATGTTTAGAGAGCTTCCCATTTTTAAAATCACTACAAAAACAATCATATTTTTTTCACCTAGTTTTTGAATTAAATCAAGTTTTTGTATCATGTTGTACATAAATAAAAATACTAAAATAAGTGTTAAACAAAATATTGAAAAAAAATAGGAATAATATAAAAAAATAATAAATATCCTATTTATTTTCATTTTAATTGTACTATATTAAGTTATATTTTGTATTTTAAAATCATGGATGAATATCAGTATTTATTACTTAACTTTATAATTATTAACTTCTAAATCTATCAAATCACCATCTTTATCCAGTCTCTAAAGATGATTTTCTAAACTGTTTTACTATATTTTTATCATGAACAGTTTAAATTAAAACTTGGTATTTTTGAATAGCTATCATAGAAGTATCCTTTAAGTTATTTCAAAAAATAATTTCTAATTATTATAAATTAATTTTAGCATGTTTTGCAGATATAAATGAGTGTGAAGTAAGTATTTTTCTCCCCTCTTCTTTCAGTGGAGTTATCATTCCTTTCTCATCCAAATTGAATCTTACAAAAAATTTGCCTCTTGTGTGCACGCATACAGCTGAAGGTCATAGCAGAGCTATATTGTCTCTTACTGCCACTGATGATGTGCTATTCAGTGGATCAAAAGGTAATAAATGAACTGTAATGTGCATGGATTTTCTTGTTTGTGATTATTTAAATGTATGTGAGCATAGCTCATCCTGTATTTTTAATTATTTTAGATCGCACTGTCAAAATATGGGACTTAGGTACAGGAAAAGAAATCCAAAGTCTAGGTGGTCACCCAAACAATGTATGTGTTGTACGCTACAGTGAATACTCACGTTTAGCATTTAGTGTATCAACTGCATTTGTCAAAGTGTGGGATGTCAGAGAAAATCCAGCAAAGTGCATTCAAACACTTAGGTATATTGATTTTATTAATACTATGCCAGCAGTTTCAGTTCTAAAGAGAAAATTACTTTGATAATTTAAGAAATATAATGCATAAATTTTTCATGTGATGAATCAGCATATCATTCTTATAAAATGGTTATACTTTACAAGTAGAAATTTAGAGGTTTCCAATTTATAAATAATTAACTTCAATCATATTTTTATATCATGGCTGTCCTTTTATTTGATGTGTTTTCATAATAAATGGGCAGTTCTTTTTAGAACCCAACTACTGCTGAACTGTTTGACTGTAAGAAATAAATTCATCCTTTTGCTCAGTTTTGCCAGTTGTTTTATTAATGGCTTTGTAAGGTAGCTTCACATTTTCCTCAAATATCAAAACATATTGTCACCAATATTAATACAACGTGATTAATTTTTCATGTTTTGAAAATCTGATAGAAGAAAATATTATGCAATCTTCAGTTAGATATGAGTATAATCTTTGAGATTATTATTTATTTATTTATTTTTAATTTGGAATTATGAGTGTAGAAAGGATATAACTCAGTGTCTTTAATCAGCATTTCTCAAACTGTGGTCCTCAAAGCCTGCCCTTGTAGTACTCAAAGACTTGAAAAATATCCTATTTGTTATCAAAATTAAGATCTTATATAATTTCTTGTCGACGATTTGTGCTAAGTACCCTGGCATATCTTTCAGATGTATACCTAAAACTAAATGAACTACATCTTTGCCTATAATGTGTAAACTAAATCTCTATGTAATTTTGACTTTTGTCTATGCTCATGAGAAAGTAAAGGATTTGAGAAGAAACTTGGTTTGTGGGTTAGTGTAAAACAGAAATTTTTCACCATTTCCAGCATGAGAATCTTTCTTGGTAAAAAAATGATATCGATATTGGGAAAGAATTATGCAATGACATATGTTTGCATGTCAAAACTCTGGTCACAATTTGAAACTTATTTCCCAGATGGTACATATAATGTGTTTTCATGGCTTCTTGATCCTTTCCCTTGCAACTTTGAAATAACAAATTGTCATTCAGTTAAAGTGAAATTTCAAACAGAAGCTATGAGTAATTTCTGGACCTCATTGATTGTGAAAACGGAATATAGTGAACTGTACAATAGTGCTTTAAAAATTATAAACAGTTTGCTTTTGTATATCTGTGTGAAAAAGTGTTTTTGGACAAATAAACAGTATTGAAATCAACTTGATATAAGTACCAGTCTGACACTTAAGCTTACTACTGTATATTTAAACATATAATGCAAGAATCAGCAAGTTCATTCTGCTGATTCTAGCTTAGGTGGTGGTGGTGGTGGTGGTGTATTTAATTATGACAAAGCACACTAGGGCTATCTGCCTGAGGGAATGGATGCCTTCATGGAGGACTTTCTAAGGAAAACTGGCTCTTATACAAGTTACACATGGGGAAAACCACGAAAACACCCATGCAGCCAGTCCGTTCGCGGGATTCGAACCTCGGACCGAACTACCAGTGTTCAGCGTCTTTACCGCTGGGCCGCTGGTGGGCCTATGATTCTAGCTTAGGATACCGACTTTTATTTACTTATTAGTTAATAAAGTAAAAGATTATACAAACTCTGATGACCTTGAATTATTAAAAACAAATGTAATATTTCTTCTTTTAATTACTTCATTGTTTTCCCTGAGACAAACTCATTGATTTTAAAAGTGTTGTTAGTAACTTTGGACCATTTATTAATTCTAATAATACAAAAAGGCAAATGGCCATCATAAAGACCCAAATAATATTGTAAGTAAAATATATGTATTTTGTTAGAGTTCAAAGCTAGTCACTTAGTTTTCAAATTGACGAGTCTGTCTGGGTGGAATACCGAAGTTGTTAACTTAATTGATTAATACCAATACAAAATAAATTTTTAATTAAAACAAAAATATATAACCTTATAAGAAATTATTAAAAAATTTTATAATTAATTATAAGATAAGATCTATTATTATTGTCATCAATAAGAAGTTTGTACTATTAATTTATATGTAATCAAAAACTGTTTATTTTTCGCCAAAGAATGTTTTTCATTTCAATAACTACAAATAGATATGAAGTGAGATTATTTATTTCATTATATATAACTTGACATAAGATGAGAGCTGGATTAGGGAAGGCACCAATTCGCATTTTTGGAAAACTGCTGCGTAGATGACTGCAATGTTTACTGTGCATAACTAGTTGGGTTGTTAAAACATCATTTTATTTTCAGGACATAAACAGTTCTTTGGTATCACATTCTGTAGACATCACATAGTGCAATAGGTGCAGTCTGCACCACAGAATTTTAAATATGGAAATCGCATTGTTACAACAGCTGAGGTGGCCAGGAGGTTAATTACATGCTTCAGTGGCAAGAGCAAGCAGCAAAAAAGGTTGGCTGCTGAAGTATTTATTATAGTTCAGAAATTGAGTTCTCGATAGCGACTGTACAAGAGTTTTTGCAGGTCACAGATATGATGACACAAAATGATGCAATGTGTATTCTTAAAGAGGGGATGTACTTAAATTGAGAATTTAAAGATATGAATTTGGGTTTGCTATTTTATATTTTACATATTCCCACTTCAAGCAGAAAAAGGGTTCACGATAGAAGAGCCTTTTAAGAAAGAAGCATTAGAGTATTAGCAAAGGAAGGGAAATTTTGTATGTTATTTACAGTTTCAATGAGAAAGCAAATAAATTGTTTCAAGATGTAATTTAGGAATTCTAGAACAAAATATGATTCTGTAAATTAAATTTAGAGTCCAGTTTGAAAGTCTCTAGAATAGAAGTTCGGTAAGTTCTTTAAACATTTTTCCAAATAATATAAAAATTGTCCTGAATTGAGTATCTATTTTCCATGAAATAATTAAAAATGTTCAAAATTCTGAAGATCATATCATTAATTTTAGTCTTTTGTAAAAACTAAGTGTTATCATTAATATAAAATTAAAATGCTTCTACCACATACTTATGAAATTCTATTGTAGAGCATTGCAGATATAGACATTAATATGCAGAAATAGACAAATACAGTGCTATATAATAATAAACTCTGATGAAAAAAATGGCAGGCCCTCTACGAGCAAATCAGCATAACTATTTGTTGATGGCTGTGGAATGCTTAAATATAGTTGACATAAAAACCTCTCTTCCTTATACAAGATAACTAGCTTTTAGTAGTGTATAAAAAAATCAATGTCTCGATTTATTTTTATAGTTATAAAATTCTTTATATTACATACTTGAAAAAATAAATACATGAAATTAAAATTCAAGTTGAGACGAATAACTTGTGTACTCAAGTTATGTCTTAGAAATTTAGTAAACAGAATTTTACATCACCCTGCAGTCACAATAGTAAAAAATATTTTTAGATAAAAAGAAGCCAAATTGAGAGAAAGAAACAGATTTGGAAGTTCACATTTAAGGTTTTAGAATCTTCGTAATTATTTAGGAAAGGCCTTTTAAAATTTTTCACAAAATATTACAAACATAAAAATTTTGAATATATCCATTAATTATTTAATGGATGGATGTATTCAACATTTTTATGTTTGTAATATATCCATTATAATATATCCATTAATTATTGTAAATTATCTTACTTTGAATATATCCATTAATTATTGTAAATTATCAAAACAAATTTCAAAATTTTATAATTAATTTTTATTCTATCGAACATCATTTGAAATAGTTTTACTGAAATTATGATATTTATTATTATTTAGACATTTCTAATTGACATATTTTGTACAAAACTAGAAGACCCCACAGCTTTCTTTAAATACTAACATATCCAACTTATGGGCAAACACTTGAACTAACCTGGTGGTCCGCATCAGTGACCAAGGGAAATGCTATGGCAGTTATTTGAAAAAATGTCAGATTCCTTGTTTTAAGGCAACTGGCCTTTAAAACATTACATTTTATATTTTAAAAAATTAAACGTATTCACTCCATTATATAATAATAATAATTTTCAAAGGATCAAAGTTTTAAGGGATCCTTCAAAGTTTTATCTTTTAATATATTCTATGTTAAAATAAAGTTACCCATTAATTTTAACATTCATTGAGCACATTTTCATGTAACTTATCTGTATTAATTTCACTTCTTAATTACATTACTTATAATCAGTTTTATGATAATTATTCAGTTTTTAAAATTACTAACATTTTTATTCATAATAACATTATTCAATATCAAACATTTAATATTTGCTATAATAATATTCAAAAACCACTATTTGTTTACCAGTCTATTTGTCTACCAGTTTTTCAAATTATTTCATTTATTTAAAAATTTCAAGAGAAATTCAAAAATATAATTATTTATCTTAATAATCTTCTTAAAAATAATTTAAATATCTTAAAACCCATTATTTAATTTTATCAAGCATAATTATGAAAAGTTAAATCTTCTGATGCCAAAAAATTTTAGTTTGATATTTTCATCAAACAGTGCTACTTTTTTAAAAAAAGAAGAAGCAGATATTGCTTGCATGCAAAATTGTTATTTATTGCATTATTATTATAAACTGGTACTACAAAGCTATTTAGGGAAAGATAAAATTTTATCTTATCAGCCATTTTAGTTGTACATAAGTCAACGTACTCTATATACATAAAAGCATAGTAAGTTTCATGCTGCTTGCATTATTAGCTATGTAATAGTTGTGGAATACATTGCTTCAAAATGGACTATCAAACTAAGTGTAATGTAGCAGGAAAGAGTAGCATGCATAATCATATATTTGATTAATCTTTAGAAAAAGTGTTCGCAAGAATGCAGATGTAAGAGAATAAGTGCAGAATTAATCATCTTACAACTGTTCAATTGATCAATCAACACAATGGTTCATTTACACTCTTTTGCAAACAAATCGAAACACCATGAAGGAAGTGATTGTTTTTGATGAAACTGAATATGTGTATAACTCATACACAGACAATAAAATGATTAAAAAATCAAGGTCATAGCACCTGTTCATGGCTCACAATCACCCATTGAGTGTTCAAATTAGTAATTGGTCGAACCGACCCTGGCGACAATGTATGCTTGAATTCCTCGAGCCAAGGAGTGGTAGAGGTTCCTAATGTCATCCTGCGACACATTTTACCAGGCATTCATTCATCAGTTGTCTCTCCAGATCTGTGATATTTTGTAGTACCCGAATCTGGCGGCCCACTATGTCCCAGATATGCTCGATTGGTGAAAGGTGTAGTGACCTTGCTGGCCAAAACTATTAATCACACGAAGACAGTCTACAGATATGCGAAAATGGCCCCAAAATGATGTGTCACGAAGGGTAATGCAACTGGCTGCAGGAAGGTACATATCGGTGAGCTGTTACAGATGTACAAAGGATGACTAAAGATGGCCTGCTGTCATAAAAAATAGCGCCTCACACCATCACACCAGGGGTTATGGCTGTATGCCTTTTTAAAACAGAGGCTGATTGGAACCACTGGCCCCGTCTTCTACAGGCACGAACACGATGGTCATCTGCTTTAAGAGTGAAGCGGGATTCATCGCTGAACACTACACGATGCCAGTCTTATGGCAGCCATGATGATCGGCTGTGACACCACTCCAGACGAATCCGTCGATGTTGTGGCATCAAAGGCAAACATCTTAAAGGCCTCTGTAAGCATAACCCTGCCTAAGACAAGTGCCGTGAGATGGTGGACGGTACCACGGGAGGCATACACGGAACAGTTGACAATGATACCATTGGGGCAGTTCGGGCCTGGTGAACAATCATCCTATCTTGCCTCACGTTTGTGCTCCTTGGCCTTCCAGAGCCTTCATTTCATCGGCAGTTTCCTTGTAGCAACCATTGCTGCCAAAACCTTTGCACAGTAGTGTCTGACTGCTGCAGGTAGCGGCCTATTGCTCAGTATGACCACCCAGCTTCACGCAACCCTACAATGCACGTTCGAAGTATTTTTAGTTGTCTGTAAGGTCTTTGATATCGTCATAATGGCATCTTTAGTTGCTTCTTTATGAAATTACAATGGCAGCAACAAAAAAAGATAAATATTCCACCTCTGTTACTAGTTTTATACTTTGCAAATTTCTCACTAGAATTGTGTGCTATGATCGCAATTCCTGTTCATTTGCCTTGAGACTTTGATCATTTGCATGTTCGATCAAGATGCTTTTGCATACCAAATTTCGTCACAAATGCAAAAGTCCTTCTTGGTGCTTAGATTTTTTTTTGCAAAAAAGTGTGTATTCAATTAATAAATGGCATATAGTTCAGCATGTTAATATAATCTTTCATCTTTTCCATATGAGGTAATGTTTCCTTTTTGTATTGCAGTAAATATCAGTTTTCCCATTAAGTAAAATATGTTTCATATTAAACATTCTGTATGTATCTTATTTTAAAATATTCAAATTTGCCATTATTTATTGGTTGTAATTCATTCACAATTACATTATTTCACCTTTTTACTCTATAAATTTCAAATTTTATTTCATTATTAAATTGAAATTTAATTGTACAGCTAAATGATGTCCATAGAAAATGTTTCCTTTTTGCTATACAGTTTTGGAATTATATCTTTTATTTCAGTTCTTCTGGTCTTTCAAATTCGGGTACGCCAACTTTAAATACACCGTCCAGAACATTGCAGATGCCGCAAGGAGAAACTCAGATACATGACATAGCTCTTAATCGTTATGGTACTACGTTATTTTCTGCTGCTAGTAATATTGTTCGCATATGGGATTTGAGAATGTAAGTTTCTTGTTCTTTTCCTTTTTTTAATTTACCTCAGTTTTTTTATTATTATTATTATTATTATTTTTTTTATTTATTATTATTTTTTTTTTAATTTTATTTTATTTGCAAACAGAATTTTTGTCTTAAAGATCAGTTTCTACAATGAAGCTTTAATTAAACAGTCTGCCATAAAGTTGCCTCACAAGGTTATTCATTTCAGTAACTGAAAAAAAAGTATTCAATTATTGAAGAGCCATGCTTAACTTTTATCTTTGGTATATGAAATTATTTAATGGAATGTACTAATGTGATTAATGAGAAGCGAATTTTCTTATGTTAGATGCTATATCGTTTTATATTTCTCAGAGGTGAAGCAATTTCACTGAAGCATATTTGTAAAATAATGAATAATTAACTAGCATTGCAGTATCTCATTTATGTGTTCCATTCATTTTCTGGACCTAATTATGGATTTCAAATCCTCATGTTTATCAGATTATTCTATCATCTTAAGCACATTTAACCCAATCATGTGCAAAAATTATTTGCATCAATAATGTGACACAATGTAGTGTATATTCCAGCACTTAATTTCACATAGCATAATGATGGCATATTAATTATATTGTAGCATATCGAAAAACGTAAGATAAAAATATATATCATGATATGTATTAGTTCAGGTTCAAAATATTGATATTTCCTGAGATATTAAAAACAAAAACTTCCTATTTACATGATTGCCTTATTTGTCTGTTTGCATTTTTTTATTATATATAAAATTTTGTTAGGTATAAAGCAATTGGAAAATTAAGTGGAAGCCATCAAGCAGCAATAATGTGTTTGGCTGTAGATAATGAAGGACTGGATAAAAATATTGTAGTAACAGGATCCAAGGATCACTATATTAAAGTATGTTAATATGTTTCTAAATGTACTTGCAGTTTTTTTTTTTTTTTTTGTTTTGTTTTGTTTTGTTTTTGAGTATTTCTTTATCATCATATAATAATAAAATTTATTTATCTAAATTTGTAAAATTTAGTGATGTTATATGAACTGTCCTATCATATGATATGGCTGTTAACTATGATAATCTTTTTGTCATAAGTCAAATGAAGTGGATCAATAAAATGCTCATTATTTAGTTTCTTTAAAATTTATTTATTTATTATTATATTTATTATTCCTTATTAATATTATTTAGTTTATTATTATTTTATTTATTATTAGTTTCTTTTAGTTTATATTATTAGTTTATTATTTAGTTTCTTTAAAAATAAATAAAGAATATGATACTTTCCTGTTAATTGCATTACATTAGTTTATTTTTTTAGTGTTGCATCTCATATAAAATTTAAACAGTGCCATGGATTTTGTTCTCATTAGCCTCAAAAAGAAAGAATGAGGTGCAAAAGTACTGTAAATTATTGCTAGACTAAAGAAAAGCTTTGATTTTTCTGAAGTAATTTGGACATATATGAAGAATGGAAGTAGAAGAATTTATGTTGCATGAAAAATGTAGTTTTCTTGAATAATATTCAACTATGAATAATAAAATGAACAATAGTATATCATCAAAATAGTATATCATAAATTATATCATCAAAAATATTGCTGGGAAAAAAACAATTTGCACACACACACACACAACTGTGCACAACATTCTAAATCTTATGCAAAAATTTCTTATCCATGTTCTTAAAAAAGTTCTTCATAAATTACAAAAGAAAGCATAACTATCATTCAAGAATGCTGTTTAATAATTCCTTGGAAATACTAAACCGACAAACTATAAAAGCATTATTCAGAAGATGAAACTTTAACAAAAGTTGATATGCCTAATGTCCTTAAAATTGTCTTTCATGTGTATTTTTACCTTAATTTCATTTCCAGTAATATGGAAGCATAGTGATGAACATGGTAAATGATTTTACTGGTCATGAGCATTATTATCACGCACCAATCATTTATGTCTGTGACTGGTTCACCAAGAGAAATGTACCTGATGAATAGTAGAAACACGGAGGGGGAGAAGATACTTACATAAGACACTGATATATTTAAAATGTTTTTTTTTTTTTTTTGGTTGCAAAATGGAAATTACTTGCAGCACAACATATGCGAGTATATTGTTGTAAGATGACATCATATTGCATTGTCATAATGTGTGGAACAAATCCTCTTTTCAAATAAAATTAAAAACTTTGACATCAATTTCATTATTTTTGTTTACTCTGCATTCGGTATAAGTGATATGTCAGTTTCAAGTGAAAAACAGAATTTAAACAAATTTTTTTTTAATTTCAGTGTTTATCAAAATATTGCTTTTTGCTTAACTGTTTTCAAGTTAATATATACTGCTGGCTATTAAAATTGCAACACCATGAAGGGAAGCAAATACAAAAAAGATATTTATTGCACGTAAACAGTATGGTATGAAGACAAAATGATTAAATTTGTAAGCATTTTGGAGGTTTACAAGGATGCGAAATTAGTATAAACAGCTGCCACCCCTGCCAGCTAAAACAGCCCTTACCCCATTAGGCATGGAGTGAAATTGGGCTTTGATAACAGAAATGGGAAACTCATTCCATACTGCTTCAAGTCTATGCCACACTTCCTCAACTGTATTAACTGGAGAGGGATGGCGGGCCACTCTCTCAGCAACTCATGACAGAAGTTTTCAATGGGTGACAGATCCGGAGACCATGGAGGCAAGGGCAGCAGTCAAATACCCTGTGTATCAAGGAAGGTCAGAACATGTGGTCTTGCATTATCTTGTTGGAACATGGTGTTTGGGGGCCTCAAAGATAGGGCACAACCACGACGTAAGATGTCAGAAATGTACCCATCTGCGTTCAAATTATCATTGATATGAACTAGAGATGTGTGTATTGTGTACCCAATGCATCACAGCAGGTGCAAAGTCCCTATGCCGATATGAAATGCAAGCAGGCGATGTGGAGTCTCTTCGGACATTCCAGACATGTATATGGCCATCAGAATACTGCATGTAGAGACATTGTGCCACTCGTGTATCCAACTTTGTCGTTTGGAGCGCCAGAGTCGTCTTTTCTCTCTATGCTGTATTGTCAAGGGAAGCCGAAGTAATGTGCATGCTGCTGCAAACATTGACGCACCTTACGAGCTGATACTGGATGTGCTGCAAACATGCCCATCTCCTGACTAATGGTCCATGATGTGGTCATACAGTCTTGCAGGGCTGACCTTACAATATGTCTGTCCTCTCTGACATTAGTAATAGAAAGGCGTTTACAGTGTGGCTCTCAGCAATCCACTGATTCCATATTCGCATAACAGTGGTCGGATGTCGACCAGTGAGATTGGTGATATCACAGAATGATAATCTACACTTTTGATAGGCAACAATCCTCCATCTGTTGAATTTTGAAACTTGCTAGTAATCATTTCCTCTTCTTATTCGAGGCATAAAACGATATTCTGAGCAAACTCCAACCTTTACAAAGCACTTTCTGCATGAGATATCCGCTACACAACATTTCTTTTATGCAGTCTTTCAGATGTCATTTCTTCCTCCTGCATCTTCTAAATGTGCTGAAATACTGATCATTTGCATATCCCATCTTCTTCCTTTCACATGATTTTGACATTCGTCAGATCATTCCTTCCTGGTGTTGCAATTTTAATGGCCAGCAGTGTATATAAAATACTATAACAGTAGAAAAATATGTTTTTCTTGTGTTCCTAATCCATATAGGTTTTTGAAGTCACTGGTGGTACCCATTTAGCAAAAACTAATCTTAAACCACCTCACTATGATGGAATTCAGTCCCTTGCTATGAGTGGAAACATCTTGTTCTCTGGGTCAAGGGATATGTGCATTAAAAAGTGGAACCTCAAAACTGGAAGTCATATTCAGGTAAGATTATATACATCACTTGAATATATATTTTGGTAACTAAATTAATACAAATTCTTTATACTCATAATGTGTGAATGTGTGTAAAATTCTGGATTATTGTGACTATTGAGTAATTAGTGTTTTTTTAATAGCACGGAATTTAAAAAACAAGGATATATTATTATTATTATTATTATTTTAAGCTCATGTTAAGGTTTTAGTTACTTTTCATTATGATAAATAGTGTTAGTTGTACTTTAATAGGAAAGTGAAGAAGAATACATATTTTATACATGAGATATTTTAAATACATGCAGTTTGCAATATATTTCAGTAAATAAAATGTCCTATCTTTATATCTCCTAAGTCATAACTACAGAAATTTGTGCTACTGAAATATAATTGATTGGCTGCTAGGGAGAAGATTGTTTTGTTTAAATTCAAATAGTTGTTGCATATGCTTCATTTTTGTATTGATGCTTTCCTAGCTGCTCTTGAACTAATTCGGATTTAGTGCATGCTAACTAGCATTATATTCTTAGCCATGTTCTTGACTGCTTCTTGACTATTAGGAAGAACGTTACATATTTCCTAGTATAAGAATTTCTTTAAACTGAACTATTATTTTGGAAAATAAGTGCAACTTAATTTAATCTTTATTTCAGTCACTGATATGGAAGTCCTTTATTCAGATATTAATCTCCAAAACCGTTTTAATTACAATACTTGCAAAATACATGTGATAATGTTGTTTATTGGAAGAAAAGAAAAAAAATATAAGGCAATATATTTCCAATATTTAATATTGGAAAAGTCTGCAGAAGTATTGAAAGGAGAAAGACACTGAGTAATGGGAAAAAAATGAGAATCTGTTAGCATAGCACCAAAGTAAGAGATGTCATGCCATGTCCAATCCAAGTCATTATTTTAATCATTAAATGAAGATATATTGCAAAAATTCACTTCAGTGTTAAATAAAACGAAATGTAATTTGAATTTTGAATGAAAGAAATCATTTCTAGGTGCAATATGGGCTAATTTTCAAGAATCCGAGTGTGGAATTTTACAAGTCTGAGCTTCTTAATCTCTGCGTTATTCAATAACCACATTAAAAAAATGTTTTAAAATGTAGCAGATGTTATAAAACCGGTCTGATCCTTATCAGTCTTAATAAAATGTGATTTTCTATCATTTTAAAAGTATCCTAATTTTGTTTCAGATGGGTTTCCATGAGTGTTTAACAATTTTTGTCTTTGTAGAAGTAGATGATTCCAAATCTGCTTTGTTGGCTTGTTTATCTTTAGTGGGTAATTATTTCACAAGACTGTATTTAATTACATGTTATTTTATTATATACAACATGCATCATCACTCTCATACACACATATCAGTACAAGTAGGAGCATTCCCGTCTTAGTTCTGGTTTACAATAACTTTGCATGCTTGTGATGTTGGCGCTGTACCAGCTTTAAGTTCGATTATTAATAAGTTCTCAAAACACCACATTAAGTTTACTCAACAGTTTGAGGAACAGTTTTTCCTCCATTATTACTATGTAATAGTTGATTTTTGCTTGAATAGGACTCGCATTCAGTGCATTCTGTGATAGAAAATTGCAAATTGCATTAATTTGTGATGGGGATTGAAGCACCTCTTGGGCATGGTTGGGGAGGGCTTAGCACTATGTTATATTCATTTGTGTGCTCATTCTAGGGTTCTCTTAAAGAGAGTTCATTCATTTCTTCTGTAGTTTTCGGTTTAATGAATAGTATGCATTCATTGAATCCCAAACTACAGAACTACCACTACTTCTTCGCAGTCTAAGCTAGAGGCAAATATGCTTAGACAAATCTTAGTCTGCAGGCAAATATGTTCTCTAAGCTAGAGGTTGATATACGGCTTCTACCTCTGGCGTGTGGTCATCTTTGACAGGTTCATGCTTTGCTGTCACAAAATTCTTTTGGTAATGATATAGTGTGATTCATCCTGTCGGATGTGTCCTTGTGACTCTCATGTATATTATTGTACTAACATGTTCTTCACCAGATTTGATTCAGACTCAGTCTGTTTGTCATTATTGTGCCGAACAGAACTGTAGATAATATATTTAGAATGTAGAATGTGTTGCCACTTAGATATTTGCCATTCCTGACCCACTAATTTTTCTTAAATCGTACCTAACTGGAGTTTGAATACTAGAAAATTATTTTTTGTAATGAGTTCAACTTTGATATAATTTCTGTATTTTAAGATCTAGTGTACTTTTTTTTTCAGTCATTGAACCAAGCGCACAAGGATTGGGTCTGTGCTTTGAGTTTCCTTTCTAACAATAGCATGTTGTTAAGTGGATGTAGAGGAGGATTCTTGAAATTGTGGGCAGCAGACACTACACAGCTTATAGGCGAAATAAAAGCACATAGTGCACCAATTAATGCAATATCGACAAATACTAATGCAATTTTTACTGCTTCCAGGTAAGTAACATGTTACAGTTATTATATTTTTCATGTTTATACAGTCAAAAGTCTTTAATCCGGAATGATCTATAATCCGGACCTCAAAGCTACAAACTTTCTGTGCCTGCATATCTACGCTTAAGCATAATACGTTTACGCATGCACATTTAATGTAAAATGGACGGTATAATCTAAGCTAAAATTATCTGTTTCAGTTAATGTTGCAGATTGCGTTGTTTCTTAATCTTCTAATTGGATCCGGCTTATTATTTTTTGCAGACTGTTAGAGCAATTTTATAAAAGTAAGCTTAAATTTTCGATTATGTCAAAAAGAATTTCCGATTCCGGAGCTACCAAATGATCTACAAAGCGAAAACATGTTTCGATGTTCATCAAACAAAAAGTGGAATTGCTGCAAAAAATGGATAAAGACATATCCTTTGATTCTCTAATCATTCTGAAATATGTTTATCAATTTCACGCTGCTCTGCGAGGGGGGTGGACATTGCGGAATGCAATGAACTGGAAGTTGATCTGTCAGCACTATCCTTATCTTCAGGGCAGATGTTTTTATTTTATTCGGCTTATAATTCCTTATTAAATGTAGTATTTCATCTCGATGTACTCTGTCTTTGATATGATTTAAATCAAATTCCTCGTCATTATAAATATCATGAATACACATCAAATAGTTTTCTGGTTGCAATTTTCTAATTTCGACTATGCATAATGTATGCTTTACGAATGCGCGCGTTGAAAGAAATGTTTAATAAAGTAAACAAATAAATATAAAGCTTTTTTTTTTTTTTTTTTTTTTTTTTTTTTTGTAAATTTTTGATACCCTTTAGATCATAATTGCTTTTTATTTCATAAATTAGTTTCATATTTTTAATTTTATAATTTCTGCATGCCATCTTAGATTTAAACTGATGATCTATAATCCGGAAAACCGATAATCCAGAGTCTTCGAAGTCCCAACGAGTCCAGATTAAAGACTTTTGACTGTATTTATCATATTGAAAGTATAAATTCTTGATTATGAAATTTACTACTTATTTTCAATTTAATTTTGATAGTATAATGAGAATATAATTAGCTTTTGTCTGCTATTTTTATTATACTTTTTAAACGTGCAGGAGAAAATATAATAGGATAGTAAAATATTTAAAAGTGTTTGAAATTAGCAATAAAATTGTTCAAACGTTTGCTGTATATGAATCTGAAAAATGTTATTTAGATAGAAGAAACTATTAACTATATTCTCCTTTGTTTGAGTATAAGGAAGGAGGTAATTTTATCTTTTGTTGATGTTGGGAACAATAATACTTTCTCTCTTTCAAACCTGTATACTTATTTTATGTTACTTCTGTAACTAATTCTAAGAGAACTTAAAAATACTTTCATTTATGCTATGAAAATCAAGATTGTAATGAAAGCTGCAGAGAAAATTCATTATTTTTCCAAAAACTGCTGCTATGAATATTCATAAATTCATCTATTCTAAAAGCCAATTTTAAAAAAATGGGTGGGGGAACTTATGGCCTTTTGTCAAAGATGTTTCATAGGAGCTAGATTTTAAGGTTATAGGTGAAAATGTCATGGAGAAAACAGTGCAAGATGAAAACATTGTGTGAGAAAAGAAAGCAAGGAGAATAGATCACTATTCTAAAACTTTACTGTTGAAAGAAAGCAGTTAAGAAACTTAGCAGTTTTAAAACATCGTTGTTGAAAATATTATGGTAAAATAGACTGCTGGCCATTAAAATCGTAACACCATGAAGGAAAGTAAATACAAAATAATAATAATAATAATAATTTTTACTCAATTGTAATTTTTACTTAATTGTAATAATGGCATGAAAACAAAATGATTAAATTCATAAGCATTTTGCAGGTTTACAGGGGTGCAAAATTAGTAGAAACAGCTGCCACCCCTGCCAGCTAAAACAGCCCTTACCCCATTAGGCATGGAGTGAAATTGGGCTTGGATGAGAGAAATGGGCAACTCATTCCATGCTGCTTCAAGTCTATGCCACAATTCATCAACTGTATTAGCTGGAAAGGGGTAGCAGGCCAGTCTTTCAGCAACTCATGACCAGATGTTTTCAATGGGTGACAGATCTGTGGAGCATGCTGGCCAGGGCAGTAATTGAATATCCTGTGTATCGAGGAAGGTCAGAACACGACGTGCAACATGTGGTCTTGCATTATCTTGTTGGAAGATGGCATTTGGCAGGCCTCAAAGATAGGGCACAACCACTGGACGTAAGATGTCAGAAATGCATTCAAATTACCATAGATAGAAACTAGAGATGTGTGTGTCATGTACCCAATGGCTGCCTAAACCATCACACCAGGTGCAGGGGCCCCTATGCCGATATCGAATGCAAGCAGGTGACATGCAGTCTCTTCAGAAACTCCAGGCACAAATACAGCAACAGAAATGTATACGCATCAAAATGCTGCATGTAGAACCGGGACTCGTTTGAAAAGGCAACTCCTGTACCCAGCTTTGCCGTTTGGCACACCAGAGTCTCTCTCTAGGCTTCATTGTCAAGGGAAGCAGGAGTAATGGTCACCATGCTGATATTCTGCAATTAAAAATTCCGAAGGTAATGATAAAAACTTCCCCCAAAGTTAACTTACTACACGAAAACCACGATCCAAATCTTAAACTCCACTGACAGCCACATACTTTACCAGCAACCATAGCCTGCAAACCCGCACAAGGTCTATCAGAAACGCTATTCTTTGTACGACTTCTCATTTCAGCTCGTCATTTCAGACATGCCAAACTCCGCTTCAGAAGTCCTGACTCCCACAGAAATTCCAAAAATACACTTCGATTCGCATAAACACACCTGTGATCAAAAGACTCGTTAACAACTCTAACATCGTACCTTTTAATACTAAATTTACTTTGCACACAATCTAAAATACACGTCTTTCATTGCAACATTCCATTTCAAAACGTGCACGACACGAACCAACGAGCAAATAAAACCACTGCAGTGAAAGAGTAAGTTTCAACGTCAAAAGGGTTGCCATACAAACAACATCGTCCCCAAAACCATTGCAGAACACACAATCGTGCCAAAAACTAGCACAGAACACATATCGCCACATTCGGCCACCTGAAGGCGCATATAAGAGTAATACCAATTTCTTTGTTCCATCTAAAGAAGGTCTTTAAGGTAAAAGGCCCAGCAAAGTCAACACCTATTTTATTAACTATTCTTGAAATAGTAATTCAAGCTGATCTGCCATTATTTATTGGGAACCTTTTGCATTTACCTTCAAGCAGATTATAGATTTATGCAATAATTTTCTTAAATATTCTTAGCCCTGACTATCCAGAATCTTGTTCTGAAGAAAGGAAGAATTTCTTCTGCACCTATATGAAACACAAAACATGATAATGATTAATAAGAATATAATGTAAAAATATTCGGTGTTTCTGAGAAAGTCCTAGTGAAGACATTTTTAAACATGCGCTAACTTATAATATTCTTTCAGAGTCCCAAAATGGATGCAGATTTACAAGGGTGTGTGGCAAGGGTTTTCCCTTTTTTAAACAATGAATTTGTTCAGAAAAGGCTGTTGTGTGAACTTTTTTAAAATGCACATCAAGGCATGAGAAAGTTCTTCACTTGATGAGCAGCCAATAACTTCATGATGTTTTGCATTTTCAACCAAGTGTAGACACCAAGCAGACATTCTTTGATCTTTGATGGGTGCTACTTTGCTAGACGGTTGCACGGATTTTTGGCGATTTACGTTGGCGCAATTGTTGGCGCGATTTTTACAAACGTCAGCCATCTTGAAAAACGCATAGTAAAGTATTCAAAACTTAAAAAATAAATAAATAAATATCGTTAGAAATAATGGATTAATTTTTTTGTTGAAAATGTCGTTTTTTAAGATGGCAGGCAAGTGTAAATAAATACATTTACTATGAGTATAAAATACTAAAGTAAGGTTATTATTACCTTCATATAGCAAAGAAGAGAATAAAAACACACCGCTATAAAAACATTGGGCCAACGTTTAATTAGATTAAAATATTACTGAAATTGAATATCGAATTAAAAACCATCATACCAACATTTAAAAGAATTAGAATATTATTAAATTCAAATACTTTAAAATATGTTTATATAGAATATAATTAACATTAAAACATATGGACAATAATTATCTCAGCAATTTCTGAAAATAGTGTATTAATTTTTTTAACAAAAATTGAAGTATACAATTATAAAATAAACGAAAAATATGTACTTACATTTTTTTGAGTGTTTAACCTGTTGTTTATTGATAAGTACCCACAAAAAAAATCAGAATCATAATTTAGATAACATCTTTGAAGACATCTTTGAAGGAATTCGAAGATATAAATTAAATTTTAAAATGGCGCAGAAATGCACAAATTCTCGGTAACCAATCAGGGAGCTGATTACAGCTCGTTAATGCACAAATATTCTATAACCAATCAGAGAGCTTATTACATCACAGCTAGAATTAAAATTATTTAAAAATTCATACATAATAAAATCATTTTTTTAAAAAAATGCAAAATTAAATTGTATTTAAATATTTAAGAGCCATAAAAATTGTTTAAAACATTAGATTAAATTTATACATATTAAAACGAATTACTTTTAAAGTAAGGTGACGTCATTGATTACATCATCCACAACATAAAATATGATAAACAATAAAATTTTTATTTCAAATAAAAATGCAAAATTAAATTGATTTTTAATATTTAAAAGCCATAAATAATATTTTAAAACACGGAATTTATGCACAATAAACACACCTATTTTTTAAATAAAATAACAACAAAAGTATCGGTTACCATAAATAACTTATCCAGCAATGGGTTTACCATAAGTTGTATTACTCGCCAAAGGAAAATCGCCAAAATCCGTGCAACCATCTACCAAAGTAGCACCCTTTGATGAATGAAGAGCAGTTATGAATAATATCAAGATAATATAATCCTTGTACAAATGCACCGAGTTCATTGGGCACATCCTTCAGTTCTCGTAAATAGAGTTTTCTATTCTGTGCAGGTGCTATGTTGCAAGATTTGAATTCTGCTTTCTCATGCAAAATTAGATCAGCAACTTTCAGTTGTATTTGCATCCCTTGAAAGCAAATCATCAGGATTATTTTTTGAACTGACATGCCTCCAGCATTCAATTTCTGTAAGTTCTTGGATTGTAATAACACAATTTTTTACAAATACTTTTAGTGGAAGTAGTGGTTTTGTGATCCAAGCCAAAACATTTTTTTTTAGTATGTGTAGAGGAACACTTGATTGGTGTTAATATTTAGAGTATACTTTGGTTTAACTGGTTTTGCTAACAGCACAAAGTTACATATTTTTAAGCATGGAATAGTCAATTCCTTCACAAGACAATTCCTGATTCTCTGTAAAGAAGACTTGTTCTGATGAAAGGAAGAATTCCTTCTGCACCTTTAATTTCTCCCTTGCTGTTCACAAAATGAAGGTAAATTAAGGCCCTATATGCTTCCTTTGTGGCATCGGAAAAACCATGAAGTTCGTTGTAAATAAATTCGTTGGACACACAATGCATTATTTTAATCCTCTTGTGTTCTAACAAATGTTTACAAATAGTTTCCCATTTTTCTTTTTCTTGATGTGGCAGTTCCTCATTCAAATGAAATTTCATCTGATATAAGTTTCGAATGGATTTTTTAACTTGTGTGATTAAGCAGAACCAAAGGGTAAAAAATTTGAGCAATTTTAGACAAAACTGAACATTTTGTTGGAAGCTTCAAACCACAAGATGCATTAAAACAAAAGTTTTCTTTTTTTCGCTCTCATCTTAACCCAAGTTTTCTTTCTTTCGCTCTCATCTTAACCCAAGTGTTCTTACTATGTTGTTACTAGTTTCAGCAAAGTCTTCCTTATAATTGGGTCATACCCTCCCCATTTAACATCCTAATTAATTGTTGTTGCAATTCAAGTACAGTAGCCAGATCATCTGCACCTGTTAATATGGTGTCCATATAGAAATCAGACAGTATAGCAGTTGCAGCCAGTGAAATGATGTTCTTTTTCATTAAGGGCTAATTCTTTTAATATTCTAGTGGCCAAGAATGGGTGCATGCAGTGCCATAAGTAACAGTCATCAATTGAAATAATTTATTATTTTCAGTAGAATTTCCATAATATACACTGTAAATTTCTTTGTTCATAATTTACTTGAATTTGCCTATACTCTTTTGTATGTCAGCAACAAAAGCTGTTTTACACTTATGAAACCTTAAAAGAATCAAAATTAAGTCCTCTTGAATGATATAACCCCAATTATTCAATGAAACTGCATTGGACAAAGACCCTGATGCATTGAAGGTAGTTTTGTTGTGGTGCCATCTCCCCTGAATACCCCATAATGAGGCATAACATAATAATTTTAATTAATATACAATTTCCTGCATATGTCCTAAGCTTTTATATTGATACATAAAATTAAAGTGTTTTAAATTCAACCAATTCCAATTCACCAAATCAAATCAGTACCATTAAGAGCAAATCAGAGTCTTAATTTCCCCTTAATGGTAAATTCACAGTATATTTTCCTTTAATTTTATCCCTGCAATACGTTTCACAAAAGATCTTTTCTTATTCAGTTTCCTCATCTTGTAAACTAGGTGTATCTTCAATGGCTTCTAAGTTCCAAAATCGTTTAACACTTCTTTTGAATTCTTCTAAGTGTGAAACAAAACCACAATGTTTTTCTTTTTATGCATCCTTCACAGCTCTGCCAAATATATAGCCAAACACAGTTTCTTTTGCTTTCAGTGAGTTTGTAACATGAATTGCATCAGCCGTTAAAATATCAATATATATTTCAGCTCCAATTAATACATCTGCTTTGCGACGCTTTTAGAAATTAAGACCCGTTAAATAATAATATTTCCAGAAATGTGAATTTCCGAAATATCTGTCTGAGCTGCTGGCATTAAATCAGTGATCTTAAGTAAAATCCAGAAATTTAGTGATGCAGAAAATGTTTTTCCCACATTTGAAATTAATGCCATTATTTCATTTTTTCTACTAATATGTTTGCCAGCTAAACTCAAAATTGAAATGACCACCTTACTTTGTTTCAAACCAAGACTGTTTGTGAGATTTATGGATATCTCTGATATTCGACTTCCACAATCGAGCCTTAATCAAACATCAATTTTTATCTTTTGTGTATAACATAGCAGTAGGCAAAACTACATTTTTATATTTTGTTGCATAACAAAATGAGATAGATTGTATAACTGCGTCTGCATTTTCATTACCAGTTTCTTTACAGTTAGTATCCACCGAATCTCAAATCTCAGTTTGCTTGGCCTGGGTTACCAAGTCTGAGAGAAGCAAATAGAGGCACCATTTAACTTAGATAGAATTAAATAGAATTCTGTGTTCTGTACAGAAGATAGTAATGGGATTTCAACTTACGAAATTTATATGCATATTTTTTTTTTTTTTTTTTTCAGCTTAACTGATTTGATTGTAAGAAGCAGTTAATGCTAAGTTTTTGCTTTTTAACCAAATCAAATCTTTGAATAGGATCCATATTCAAAAGAAAATAACAGTTATACAGTTGATAAGATGATTTTTTACACAAATTACATAATTCATTTTTTGAATGTAAAACAAAAATTTCACTTTCTTTTGTAAATGTGGAGTTTTTGTTAATAATAAATTTTGCCCTAATAAATTTTGATGCAAAAATTGTCATGGAAAGTTTATGATATGGTGCAAAAAGACAAAACTGCTCTGTAAGGTCTGAAAAATATTCATAGTGCAATAAAGGCAAAATATAGTTCAACTATAGGGATATCCAAATGTTTTATGGATTTCTGCTTTTGAAAAATAAAGGTAAGGTTAAAAAGGTTAATGTTTTAAAACATTTTATATCATCTTCCTTCATCAGTGATTAAACATCACATCTTGTGCCATCCCAATGTCTTGTTTTTATTTCACAGAAATATGGTTAAACTATTAAGTTAATTTAATTCATTATATCTCGAAAATTATGTATGTGTTAGAATAGAATTTAATAGTAATATAGTTTGTCATTTTTAATAATGTTATGAATTATTATTCTTATTATTGTACAAAATAAAATCTTATCTTTATTATATAGTGATTGTACGGTGGGGATTTGGAGGTTGAAGAATAGCAATGATTTTTCTCCAGATAATGAATTTCCAGATTCATGAAAATTTAAACTTTTCTTCCCAATGCTGTAGATTGTACCAAAGAAAATCTCCAGTCTTTATTAGAATTACGTCAATACTGTGATTGTGTCAATATTTTCTGGTAGTTAATTATTTTTAATGTATTTGTGGAACTACCAGTTGTGTGCAGCTTGGTTGTGCTTCCTCTTTTATTTGGAAAGACAGAAAATTCATATATTGGTTTTATTCCTGTATAAAGTGTATTAGATTATTAATTGTTCATGCATTAATCACATTTCTATTTTAAATATTAGAATCATTAAATTAGCTCTCACTATTCATATTTTATATCAACATTTATGTTATTTCATATATTCTCCACTTGTGTAACATAGATTTACATTTATTGTATTCTTTAATGTTAGGTAATGGGAATTGTAAAAATAAGATGTTTATTTTTGTAGATACCTGTGAAAAATTATTTATTTTATATGTGTTTCCTATTTTATTTATAATGAAAAATGTTTTATTTTATACCAAACATTATTACATATTTGCCATGTTTTCATGGGTTATTATTATCATTTAGCATCTAAATTTGTTTTTAACTATTTGCAATGAAAGTTGCATCCAATTCCATTGAAATATTTTTCTCTGGATGTTTTGTTTTACATTCCAATTAGAAGTTTTAAAATTTTCAGCAGCATAAAGAAAATGTTTAGTTTTATATAGGGTGTGTCAATGTTTACTATGTGATGTAATTGCTGAGTTTCATTCCAAATTGTGTTCTCAGTACATTATTTTAGCATAAACATTCCAAAAATTTAATTTTTATTTTCAACATTTTTAAGTCGTATTTTTCAGTATAATAAATAATTCATTGCTATAAGAAATATGGTCACATGTGTTCAAAATGCTAGTCTGTACATGAATATTATGTTAACAACCTCTGCTTTTTATAACATATTTGCAGTGAAATAGTGCATACCTTAATAGCATTTTTAATCATGACTTTTTTATTTTTATGTAATTAGTGGTTACCATATTACTACATAAATGCTAACTACTAATTACGTAATTAAAAATCATTAAAGTTTCATTTCAATTTTGTATACATTCAATATATAAATTTTACAAAATTCAGAGCCATTTAATGTCTTTCTTTTACTATGCATAAAATTTGTTCCCCCTTTTTTTTTTTTTTTTTTTTTTTTTTTTTTTTTTTTTTCATTCAACTGTTAAAACTTTTCCATTTTTCTATGTGGAGTGAATTTTACAACAAGATAAAATAATTTTAATGAAAGTCTCTTAAATGGGGGTATTTGCTTTTCAATCATAAAATGAAGAGAGGTCATTCCATCTTATAAAAATTTAGTTTGCATAATATCAGAATTTTCATAGTTTTTATCCCTGCTATTATTATTATTTTACTTTATAAGCTTGTGCAAAGTAATTTTTCTATTAGTGTAAAAAATGTCTGAAAATATTTTTGTAATTAATACATTAGTTATAATTACATGAAATGATATTGTTGGCATTAACTTTTAAAAAGATATTGATGCTGAAAAATTTTCAGTCTTGCATGAACATGGTTGTATTTTGTATTTCTGCTTTAAATTGGTATATCATTTCCTGTATTCTGTGATATTTTTTTAATTATTATTTTATGTGTTATAGATGTATGCTTTATGTGTTGTTTTATAGTAGTTTTATGACCAATTCACACTTTGAGCTTTATTTTATATTAATTTGTTCAACAGTATTTTTATAAGCATAGTTTTCTATTTTGATTTTATTGTAGGAATGCCATCTATTACAGCTGTTTTTATTAAAATTTACATAAATGACAATTATTTTTAAAGTTTGCAAAAATTTTTGTAAACAGCGTACATTATGTCTGTTACAACATTCTCCAGAATAATAAAAAAAGTTTCCTCTTAGAAATCTAGCATAAGTAATCCTCTTATTGATTAAAAACTTCAGCATTTAATTGATACCAGAGTCCAAAGAAATCCTTTTTGTTTTATGATAGTAGTATAATGATGGTTAGCAAAATACTGTGGTATGCATAAAAAAAAGAGGGAAAAATAATTATTATATATTGGAATAAAATTCAGGCTGCCTTCCTCAAAGAAAAAAATGTGAATTTTGTTATAGTGATAATTAGAAGTTTAATAGTAAGAGGGGGGAACCTAATACATGTTTATAATTTGAATTTTTAGTTTGCTTTATTTGTACATGTATTAATAATGAAATTTAGATATTTTTAAGAGGATAGTCTTTTCCCAACGTTATTTATAGCATCTGTTAGTAGATGGCATTTCTGTTCAAGGAAAATATATGCTGCCCATCTTAAGAAACTACCTCTATCCTTTTTTCATAATACAGCAGTAATATAGTTCAGAGTTGTACTATTTCAGTATTTAATTAAATATATTAAAATGTTTCTTACATAAATGCTGATTTTGATGTAAGTTTATTCCTTCATTAAAAGCTCTTTATTCTTATATTGTAGTATTGTTAAAAAAAAATTGTTTCTGGATATGTTATTTTAACATTGTTGACAGCTTCATACTGTTAAAATTTTAGTGCAACATTCCTTAAACATACATAATAATGATGGCAATATTATTTGTTGTCTCTAGCACTCAAAGTGCACTTTAATGTAAATGTATTTTTCACACTGTAAATGAAAGCACCAGCTTTTGTTACTTAAAATATTTTCCTTAATGATAAAGTGAAATCTCAGAGAGGAGGAATTATGCTTGGTAAACAGTATGTGGGAATTTATTCTTGAGTTTAACTTTTTAGTACTATTCAAGGTTTTTAAATTTTGCTATAATTAAAAATGCATAATATAAGTATCCATGCACTGCAAATATTAGATTATTATTAAGAAGGAGTTTGCCTCATAAGTTTTAATAATCATCTTGTAATTAATAAGATGAATAGAATATGTTATGTGGAATATCTATATAACAGTTTAGTTGATAGATAAACTATAATATAAATTCGTTTTTAAAAAATAATTAATATACATAATTTAAATGTTTATTTATTATATGAGTAATTCAAATAAGTATTTAGTCCTCCATTATACTATCATTTTATGAAGTTTGATACATTAATTTTCATATGTGCAGAGTAATTATATTATATAGTGCATTTACTTGTGTTACTTCATATATAAGATATTTATTCCAAAAAATTCTATGTTCTCAGAAGTAGTGTGAGCCATAGGATAATCTTCATGCTGCATTGCTTCATGCATATTTTTTTTAACTTCTATATAATTTAAACATATTGTAATGAAATTTAAAAACTTTTAAATGCTTATTGATGCCTATTTGATATCAAAATCCCCCACCAAATTGATTTTTTTAATTCAAAAATAAAATCACATTTAATCAAAGAATATATTTATTGCATATTATAGATTGATAATTATTTATTTTTAACCAAGATTTCAAACTTCTCAATAAGTAATGTTTCCATATTTATACAAATTATATATAATCTCCATTTTCAAATCTTTATAGTTTCATTAATAAATAATCCACTGATTGCAAAACTAATATATTTCCACAAGTTTATTAGTTTTGCTATTAGAATAACAAGTTTTTCCTTTCTCTGAAATAATCCTGTTTTTCATAGTCTATCCCTATTTTCAAGTATATGTGTGTATGTAAGTTGTTAAAAAGTTGAATCAAAATCATTGAAGTATGTAATTTTTTTCTGTATAATAATCTAGCTGTTATATTGAGTTCAATGAAATATTTAATTAATCTAAATTTAGCACCATTATGTAAATTTAGTTTTCACTGTATCTATGCTTGTAGTTTAAAAGAAAAAGAATCAGCAGTTCATAACATTAGCATAATCAGAAAATAATTTAAGTAGGCAGCATGTCCTCCCCCCAAGAGGCTAAGACATGCTGTTATATAAAGAATGATTTTTAAGTCAGTATATCAAGTTTTAGAAGAAATATGTTATTGTATTTTTCTTCATACCTAAGCAACCAAATAAAGTCAAAGTCCCTGCATATAATTTGGTTGATTTCTTGGCTTGCTTTTTTTTTTTTTTTTTTTTTTTTTTTTTTTTTTTTTTTTTTTGGAGGGGATGGTAATTTGGCATTAGCAGCACTGTCTCAAGAAGGCTGTGCTGTCAAACTTTAAATTGTAGCTGTATGTGGTTCAAAAACATTAATTGCAATTTTGAATATTTTAATGCATTTGGCAACATCCTGCATTTTTAAGCTTGTTTGGTCTTCCTTTCTATTTTCTTTTATTATCTCCAAATTATTTGAAATTTATTAATAGAAAAATGTAATTTTTTAAAATTGTATATCAGCAAGCATGGCCTGAACAAAAAATACACTATGACCAATATGGTCTGAATGCAAAATGTATTGTCAAAACATCTTGGCACCTTTCTGAGGTGATGCTATTAACCCTCTGAATGTGGGATCTGTGAATAATATGTTCTTTTTTTAAGCTGAATATACATGGGGAATGTTCTTACCACATCAGCAGAAACTGGTATTTTAACTGCAGTTGGTTTTGCAAGAAGAAAATGTATGGATTTTTTTAAATTGGTTTTATGAATGTTGAACCTGTAGCCAGATGGTTAATAGTAAAGTTTTTAGTTTATTGTTTGAATTGTTTTCAAACTCATATATTATTTTAAATTACTATTATATTACGTTTATTAATAATTGTATTGGAAACTATTTCTTTGGATCACAATGTTGATCTACAAAATAAGGATCAGGAAGGATAAATGTAATCTTATAGTGATATTTTTTCTACTTTTTATGTAAGATTTAAATGTAGGTTACATTCAAAATAATTAATAATATGTATTTTCCAGTTTCATTTTAATAGATCAAATAGCAAAAATTATATAAATAAAATGGAACTATTAGAGTTAATTATTAATTTTATACTTTAATGCTCCTTTTTTTTTTATTAATTTTGCATGAAATTCAAATTAGTTGTTCAGATTTACAGTTTTTTTTTTTTTTTTTTTTTTTTTTTTTTTTTTTTTTAAAAAGAACTGTCATGTTTATATTATTTCAAAAACAGTTAAGAAAATGAAACAAATGTGAATGAAGGTAAATTTTTAAATTTAAAATTATTTGGTAAATTTGCTTTAGGTATATTTACTTAAAGAATATTACCTAGTCTGGCATATGTGTGAAAATAGGTTACATATAGGACACATTTAATTATATTCAACCTAATTAATTTCACTATCATCAAACAATCCTGTTACTGGCCTATCTTATTATGAATGACAACAGTCATTAACATAAGTGACCTATATGAACACTTGACAATATAAAAAAGAAACTGATTAAGTTAGGCCTCCACTTCAAACAATCCTGTTACTGGCCTATCTTATTATGAATGACAACAGTCATTAACATAAGTGACCTATATGAACACTTGACAATATAAAAAAGAAACTGATTAAGTTAGGCCTCCACTTCAGTGGTGAGAGGTGATATTTTTAAGCAAATAACTGCTATATGACTTACTTGCCACACACATTTCTGTGAATTAATGGCATGTATATTTCATCTAGGCAGTATTTTTAAGTTTGTGCAATATTCTTAGTTAATTGTTGCTAATGTTAGCATGATCTATAGATTAGTAGACATGATTGAATCAAAAATATTTATATTAAATTATAAAACAGAAGCTTGCTAAGTGAATGTAACCACTTAATACAATGTATTTCCGTCATTCAGAGTTAGTGTTTCAAAAATATCATTTTGTGCAAATACAATTAATTTTTATAAGACTTTTTGGTTTATTTTCATCTAGTGGTTTCTAGTTTTTGGTATTTTCCTCTTAATTTGTCTTATTGTTATTTTTTCTTATGTTTACATTTGTGTAAACTGATCTTTTAATCCATTTGCTTTGAATGACAGAAATTCAATGTGTTAAACACATAGCTGTTAATTTAACAAGCTATTTGCAGTTTAATACATTGTAAAAAAGCTTCGTTATTTAATTTTTCTCAGCTTTATTTCTGTGTAAAATTATATATATAATTAATAATGTCAATAATTATTATGAATGAAATATTTTAATATTTTTAAAGTTGTACATATTTCTCATAAAAAATAGAGTGATTGATATATTGCAACTTAAACAATACTATTAATTACTTTAAAATACTTGGTTATTTTAACAGACGCTTGTTAAG